GGAAAAGCAGAACATACCACCGTTGTTATCTCCATTGCAGTTAGGCAGAGTACCAACCCAGGCTCCATCCATGCATGTCAAAATGGATGATTTACCAGATTGTTGTTTCTGCTGCTGTTGCTGCTGTTGTTGTAGTTGACGTTGTTTGTGGTTCTGTTGTCGGTTTTGTTGTTGATTCTGTGGCATTTGTTGTTGATGACTCTGTTGCTGATTCTGATGTTGTTGTTGCGTGTCTAAGCAAGCGACATACGTGGTATCGCCATGTCTTTCCTGCCAAACCCCAGGGTGTTGTTGCATTGTTTTGCATCCCATTACTAAATGAATGTTGTTATGTGGACGTGTTTATAATGACGCTTTTAATGCAGCTGTTTATTGTTGTCGCGTTTTCGTGCCACGTTTTTAATGCTTCAAGTTGTTGTATTTTTGTTGTTGTTTGAGTTGATGCTGATACTGCTGTGTTGTTGTTTTGAAGTTGTTGTGTTGATGTTTTGGTTGTTGGTGTTGTTGGTGTCAATATGACGCACGATGTTGATCGTTTTGAATGTTATTTTATTATTGTCATTTTTTCTAATGCGACTGTTCTTATTTTCAGTCACTTTTTTGTTGTAAAAGTAACGTAAAATAAAATATTTTTCGTATATTATAGGTGGTAGGAATAATTTTGAAAATGTCGCCGCACTTAACCTAATATTTAAAAAAATATTCTTCAATATTTAATATGCAGTACAATTCATGGAGGCAGTACTTCGCGTGTTCATCACTTTGTAAGCACAGCACATACACCGCACAATTTTTCATTTCTGAAAATACAAACACGCCCTGCTACATGTTTGAACAAATTTGATTTAATATATGAAAATAATTTAAACGTAAATGTGTGTGTGTGTGTGTTTGTGTGTTTTTTTTAAATGCAACTAACGAATTCTTGTCTAATTTACTATACCGACGTTTTTGACGAGCATTATTCATGATTTTCTCTCTCCTGAGTAAATTGTGCAATTGCTTTTGTTTTAATACATAGGAACATCGTTTTAAATGGGAGAATTTATTGACACAAAGTTGTGCGATACGATAAGCAAAAAAAAAGATGGGTCAGCAAGTATTTCCAGTTTTTGAACCCGTCAAAATTGTCTAGACCCGTCCTTGATCCCATTAAGTAATAAAATTTGTTGATATGTGAATGTTGACGTTTAATACCTATTTGTTTGAAAGTTATTTAATTTAGTTAACTGTATGTGACATCACTGTTGTACCAAATTTTCACATCCTACTGATTTTTTGTCATGCAAGTAGCATGTTGAATAGTGCTTAAACTTAAACAAACAAACAACCTTTTGGTGGACTCAATTGTTAAAGTATTTCTTTGATGCTTTTGCAGTTTATGCGGCGTGAACTCAAATCGTCCTTTTTAGATTCCACTTTCCAATTCGTTTCAATAACTCAAATTAAGTTTGCCTGATTTTCACTTCGACTTTTTAAAATTTGATCTTAAATTTCATCCTGTTTTATTGTTATTCACAAACTCAGATTGTCATAAAACTTTATGGCGAATGATGATTACACTTACAAATTGTTGTTGAATGAAATTTTCTGGTTATCAGATGAAAAACTTTAATAAAATTCCATAAACAAACTCAAAAATAAAGCATTTCTTTTTTATTTTTTGTAATGCAACTTTGTCAAGCGCATAGCAGCATACACGCAAAACGTTCCTTCTTTGACCGTCATTTTGCGATGTAGAGGTTGTCATCACATATCGACAACTCCACGCCACATAAAAGTCTTTTCATAACTTTTTGCCGTCACATTGAATTAATATACTTTCCCTTAATTATTAAAATAGCATTCGTATATTTTTTAACTTTTAAACACCATCGTTTAGGAATTTAAACATTTATCAACCAGACGAGAAAAGAATCAATTATTTTCAATTTTTATGATTCCAATGCAATCAATCCAGGCGATCCATTTCATATTTCAAAAAATTGTTTTGGTTTGCTTAATTATCTTAATAAACCATCGTCATATAGTAAGTTTAAATTGATGGCTTTTTGTCAGTAAAAAATATTCATGGAAAGAGAGAGAGAAAGAAAGAGAGAGAAAAATGGAAAGAGAGGAGAAATAGAAAGGACAGAGAGAGAGAGAGAGAGAGAGAGAGAGAGAGAGAGAGAGAGAGAGAGAGAGAGGTCATAAAGTACGTGAGTTTGTCAACAATAAGATACCAGCGCCCTTTTATCGAATGCAACACATGGCAGCTGAGGATTTTGAAAATAATTATTCAATAAAATTTATGAATAATAATTTTTAATCATGTTTCTCATTGAGCACTTTCAAATGCTGCAATATGCTGACTAGAAGTTCTGAACAAGCTTAAAAATAT